ATTCCCAGGGATGTTCTGGGTTCCATTTCCATGGCTGAGCTGCAGACAGAGCCCTGCTGGGCTCTCATCCCCCAGGAAGGCCAGGCTGGGTTTTGGGATGATTTTTTACTTCTCTTCCTCCATTGTTTTGCTGTGAGCAGGGGATGGGAGGTGTGCTTGTCATTCTGCTGTGGGAATGGGCTCCTGGAGGAGCTGGGAGCCCCTTGGAGCAGGGAAACAAATCCCTGAGAGCGATCCCAAAGCTCCTGCAGCCTGGGAGGCTGGGCTGGGCTCCCCAGCTGCCCATCCTGCATCTGCTGGGCACAGCCTGGTACCCAGGGCAGCATCCCTCTGTTGCCAGGCAACGGCTGGGATGTGCAGCTGGCTGGGGCTGCTGCAGATGTGGCCACATCTGGCAGGGGAGCAGGGAAATCCCTGTCCCATCCTGAGCCTGCTCCTGTCCCACACCTCGGGTTAAGCTGAGCTTTACCAGGCCCAGCTCATGGGCCTTAGGGTGGCATTAAAAGCAGATTTGACTGCTAAAATGTTCAGCTCTGGTTTAGGTTTCATTCCTAAATTAGGTTTCATTCCATGGCAATGGGAATATGCAGGTTGGGGGCAATGCTTCCCTAGTAATAGTTGTGTCCTTGTATCCAAGCTCAGGGATGTGGGCACAGGTTTGGTGTTCCTGGGAATGCAGGTGGCCAAGGAAAGTTGGAGTCTTGCAGGTTTGTGGGGTCACACTGGGGTCAGAGCAGTTCTGATGTTAATTAACAAAGCTTTAATCACATGCCCAGGATGCAGCTGAATTCTGGAATTCAAACCTTGCTGAATCGAAGAGCTGGGTGAGAAACTGGTGCACTCCTCTGCTTTTCTTTGGGATTTTCTGTGGGAATTTCCATGGCCAGGTTATTCCTGTCCTGCTGAGGATTAGGACACTTCATCCGTGATGAGCCTGAGGGGTGCCAGGGGATTAAGGAGCAGCTCAGGGCTCAGCTGAGCCGGATTTACTGCAAGTGCCCACTTGGGAATGAAGGGCTCTGACCTGCTGGAATGAGGCCAGAAGGGCTGGGAGNGGTTCAGGAATTCCAAAGATTCCTGCCTGCTCAGCTCCCTCTGTTAATTTGCTGCAAACAGATTTTTATTCCCATTTTTTTGGAATTTAAGGCAGGTATTCCAAAGGATTTCTGAGCATTTTTGAGCTTTGAACCCCAGTGGTTTGCACTTAACCCCATCCCATCCTCTTCCAATGTTCAGGAATTCCCAAGATTTTTGCCTGTAGGTCTCCCTTTGTTACTTTGCTGTTAATGGATTTTTATTCCTGTTTTTTTTGGGATTTAAGGCAGATGTTCCAAAGGATTTCTGAGCATTTTTGAGGTTTGAACCCCAGTGATTTGCACTTAACCCCATCCCATCCTCTTCCTCTTCCAAAGGTTCAGGAATTCCAAAGATTCCTGCCTGCTCCCTCTGTTAATTTGCTGCAAACAGACTTTTATTCCCATTTTTTTTTTTGGAATTTAAGGCAGGTATTCCAAAGGATTTCTGAGCATTTTTGAGCTTTGATTTGCACTTACTCCCATGCCATCCTCTTCCCAACGTCCAGGAATTCCAAAGATTTCTGCCTGTTCAGCTCCCTCTGTTAAATTCTGAAAAAATGGGAATAAAAATCTGTTTGCAGCAAATTAAGGCAGATATTCCTAAGTATTTCTGAGCATTTTTGAGCTTTGATTTGCACTTACTCCTATGCCATCCTCTTCCCAATGTTCAGGAATTCCCAAGGTTTCTGCCTGTAGATCTCCCTTTGTTACTTTGCTGTTAATGGATTTTTATTCCTGTTTTTTTTGGGATTTAAGGCAAATATTCCAAAGGATTTCTGAGCATTTTTGAGCTTTGAACCTCATTAATTTGCACATAACCTGATCCTGTCCCCTTCCACTTCCAAAGGTTCAGGAATTCCAAAGATTCCTGCCTGTTCAGCTCCCTCTGTTAATTTGCTGTAAACAGATTTTTATTCCCATTTTTTTTGGAATTTAAGGCAGGTATTCCAAAGGATTTCTGAGCATTTTGAGCTTTGATTTGCACTTACTCCCATGCCATCCTCTTCCCAACGTCCAGGAATTCCAAAGATTCCTGCCTGTTCAGCTCCCTTTTGTTAATTTGCTGCAAACAGATTTTTATTCCCATTTTTTTGGAATTTATGGCAGATATTCCAATGGATTTTGACCATTATAGAGTTTTGTACCCCAGTGATTTGCACTTTACCCCATCCCATCCTCTTTTCAGGAATTCCAAAGATTTCTGCCTGTTCAGCTCCCTCTGTTAATTTGCTGCAAATGCATTTTATTCCTGTTTTTNCCCTGGGATTGCCTGGCTGTAAGGATTTTTAATCCTTTTAGCTGAGATTTTTCCTGCTCCTTTGATGCATTTTTTGCTCCCTCTGAGGCAAAGCCCAGCCAGGAAACTCCTCCCAAATCCATTCCCGATTGGATTTGAGCTGCTGCTCACTCAGGATGCCCAAATCCCACCCAATTTACCCTCATGATTCCCCTGAAATAATCCATGGAAATGGGAGCAACCCCGGAGTGTGGCTGTGGATTCTGGAGAAGAATGGGAAAATCCAATCAGATTTTTCTTTATTTCTCCCTGGCGTGTGGCTGGGCCCAAGCTCCATGGATTTTGGGGAAAAGCAGGAAAAATCCAATCAAAATTGTCTTTATTGCTCCTTGGAGTGTAGCTGAGCTCAAGGCTCCATGGATTTTGGGGAAGAGCAGGGAAATCCAGTCAAAATTCTCTTTTCAAAGCTCCTGTTTGTTTTCCATAGAATTGCTGTGTGGTGAAATGTCCTGTAAATTCCACAGTGTCCTTCAAAAGTCTTTTTTTCCCCATTTCACTCCTGCCAAGCATTCCTGATTGGATTTGGGCTGCTGCTCACTCAGGAGGCCCAAATCCCACCCAATTTACCCCCACAATTCTCCTAAATTAATCATGGAAATGGGAGCAACCCCGGAGTGTGGCTGGGCTGAGCTCTGTGGATTTTGGGGAAGAGCAGGGAAAATCCAGTTTAAATTGTATTTATTTTTCCTTGGGGTGTGGCTGGGCCTGAGATCCATGGATTTTGGGGAAAAGCAGGAAAAATCCAGTTAAAACTCTCCTTTTCTAGTTGTTTTCAGTAGGATTCCTGTGTAGTGAAATGTGCTGTCAATTCCAGAGCGTCCTTTAAAAGGTCTTTTTTCTTTTTTCTTTTCTCTTTCCTTTCTCCCTTTTTTTTTTATTCCTTTTCTTTTNCCTTTATTCCCAATTAGACCCACAGAGGTCTGGTTTAGTGGGATTTTGTGCTGCTGGAGCCCTTCCTGGGACAGGATTCCTTGGGAAAAGCAGGATGAGGTGATGCCATGAGGAGCTCCAGGGCTGGAATCCCTTTGCCATCCCTCTTCCTCTCCCATCATGAAATCCTGGCCTGATCTCTGGCTTGGCCGGGGTGCAGCAAACCTGGGATTGCTCCCGTGTTTTCTGTGCGGGAATGGGAATCCTGAGTCAATCACGGCAATTCCCAGGAGCTGTCAGGTGATTCTGCAGGGAAAAGATGCAGAACTGAGGAAAAAATGAATTATTACAGTTTAAAAAACACTTGGAGGCCTTTGATCTTCCTGATATTTTGGTGGAGGGGATTTTCCAAGGAAAGCTCTGCAGGTGTGGTTGTGTCCCATTAAATTCACATCCCAGGGGACAGCCCTGCCTGCTGCATTCCCTTATCCAGGAGCTGGGCTGGGCATCAGGGCAGGAGTCACTGAATTTTCCAGAGTGAAACTCAGCTGAAACTCCCAGGTTTGTCAGGGAGGGATTTGGGAAGTGTTTGGTTTCAGAAAGCAAAGAACGTTTGGGGTCCTTAGCAAGAATCCAGGTCTGTGGGTCCAGTTCAGTTTTACCCTTCTAAACTTGCTTAAGGCTCATTCTGGGAAAAATGGGGAATTTTGTATCGAGCAAAGAGTGTCTGCACCCAGGGAAGAAAGAAGGAGGAATGAGAATGTTGGGATTGGGATGGACCTGAAATCCCATCCCATTTCACCCAGGGACACTCCCACCATCCCAGGCTGCTCCAGTCCCAATGTCCAGCTCTGGGAATCCCAGCCCAGCCAGGAATTCCTTCCCAAAATCCCACCCAAACCTCCACTTTCCTACTGGGAAGCCATTCCCTGGCTCCTGTCCCTCCATCCCTGTCCCCAGCCCCTCTCAGCTCTCCTGGAGCCCCTTCAGGCCCTGGAATGTGCTGGAAGCTCTCCCTGGATCCTTCCCTTCTCCAGAGGAACATTCCCAGCTCTCCCAGCCCGGCTCCAGCCCTGCAGCAGCTCCAGAGCCTCCTCCCAGGGGTCACTGCCCCAAATCCCACAGGTTTGGGGCTGCTGGGATGGGCTGAGCNTTCTCCCCCTTTTTTCTCCTCCCTTTTTCCACTCTTTTTCTTTTCCTCCCATTCCTCCCCCTCTTCCACCTTTTCCTTCTCTTTTTCCTCCTTTCTCCCCCATTTTCCTTCCCTCTTTTCCCCTTCTCCCCCATTTTCCTTCCCTCTTTTCCCCTTCTCCCCCATTTCATACCCCCCTTTTTCTCCCCTCTCTTTCCCCTTTCTCCCCTTCCCTCCCTCCCTGCCCCAACACCCCCATAACCCCAAATTCCCATTTTTTCCCCTCAGGAAAACCGTGGTGTGTCCCATCATCGACGTGATCAGCGACGACACCTTCGAGTACATGGCGGGCTCGGACATGACCTACGGGGGCTTCAACTGGAAGCTGAATTTCCGCTGGTACCCCGTGCCCCAGAGGGAGATGGAGCGCAGGAAGGGCGACAGGACCCTGCCCGTCAGGTCAGCGCTGCTTTTCTCCCAAAAATCCCCCCAGATCCCAAAATTCCACTGCAGGATCACAGGCAGGGAGAGCCTGGCGTGTCCTCGCTGCCCCAAGCTCGGGCCAACCCCATCCCGTCCTCTTCCCAGTGAATTCCAAAGGATTCCAAAGATTTAGGAGGTCCAAAGATGGAGGAATTCCAAGGATTCCTGCCTGTTCAGTTCCCTCTGGTAATTTGCTGCAAACAGATTTTTAATCCCAGCAGATATTCCAAAGGATTTTGAGCGTTATCGAGCTTTGAACCCCAGTGATTTGTACTTAACCCCATCCCATCCTCTTCCTCTTCCAAAGGTTCAGGAATTCCAAAGATTCCTGCCTGTTCAGCTCCCTCTGTTAATATGCTGCAAACAGATTTTTATTCCCATTTTTTTTGGAATTTAAGGCAGGTATTCCAAAGGATTTCTGAGCATTTTGAGCTTTGATTTGCACTTACTCCCATCCCATCCTCTTCCCAACGTCCAGGAATTCCAAAGATTCCTGCCTGCTCAGCTCCCTCTGTTAATTTGCTGCAAACAGATTTTTATTCCCATTTTTTTGGAATTTAAGGCAGATGT